GTAAGGTGTTTTGAGAAAAATTAATTTTGATTTATAATTGTGAATTTTTCTCGATTAATTCACACTGGACAACAACTCATCAATGAACCTTATGTTTTTTTCCTCTCAAGTCAAACAAGTTTTTTATTTTGAAGACCCAAAAGAATTGGGTTGGTTTGTTGTTCTTCGAAACAAACCTAGAGACTTATTTGATATGGGTCAGATACCAAAAATGATGTTAAACATGGAACTAAATGTTATTCTTTTGCTGAATAAAACTTGGATGAAAATATCTCCAGTACCTCTGCTCAGTGGGTTTGCGAAGATGTTAATGAAGACATTTATGAACCATGATGGATTGTCCATATTTTGTAATTTGAGTGTTTAAAACATAATACAATAAAGCTTGTATGTAATTTATGTCGCAATTGCTTTCATATATTTATTGTCTTGTAAATCATACATTATTTTTTAATTTAATTAAATCGATATGTTCTTTATATATCGTTGGCTATGATTTTTTAACTTCTCAATGTCTTTATATATGTTCTTTACATATGTTTTTTATATATTCACTTTTATGATGTAGCTAAGCTACAATGTGGAGGAGTGATTGAAAGAAATATATATCAGAGATATTAGTTTAGAATCGTTTACGACACCTATTGATCTTGGCTATGGATTGAATCTTTTAGAGGGTAATGTACGTACAGTTGATTCTAACTCAGTCACTTTGAACCTTTCAACTGATATTGGATCTGACAATATAGGAGGTCTAGGTTTAAATAGTATCCCATCAATTGATTCTTCTTTTAATTTGAATGCAGGTGTCATAAACCCCATATTTAGATTTTGGTTATAATGATTAAAGTATTAGTAATTTACAAATTGATTTTTTATTTTTTACAATTGATAACAATGGTCAACGGAAGATTAAAGGCCGATCAACTTTGAAGGAATTGTTTGCACTACCTCCGAATGAGCATATTGTAGTATTTGCAAACTCTAATAGGCAACCAATTGGTGAAGAGTCTCAACTATTAGCTAGATTTCTAGGCATGATTTCCCGTAATGGAATGAAATTGCCTATTCATTATGAAACATGACATAAAGTTCCAATAGAAGTTAAGGTCGATGCTTACATATAAAAAATTATTATTTTAATTAATTATTGAGGTATTAGTATAATTAATTACATATAAAAATTAATTATTTTAAATTTGGTTTATTGATTAAAACTTTTCTTTTTGTATTATTACAGTCAAGATTTATACTTGAAATACCAACTTCATTTGTGCTTAAGTCATTGGAAAAGAATGGAAAGACTATAAGCATAATTTGAAGAAAAAGTATTTCAATCGAAATACTACTATAGAGGCCACAATGGAAAATCTCCCCTGTAATGTGATCAGGTAGCAATATGAATAATTAGTTAGATTTTAGTTCTCAAGAAAAAGAAATGTACTAATTTATAACTTTTAATATTAGTTTTAATAATAAAAGTGTTTTATGATTTAAGTTGATAATATTTGTATTTCTAGCATATACACAATTAATTTTTATGATAGGAAAGAGAACAGATTGGGATTGGTAGCAAAAAGCAACAAAAATATAGCCACACAAGTGGATCAAAAAGTTTTGCAAGAAAGCAAAAAGAAATAGTAAGTTTATGATATTAAACTTATCCGAATGAATGAACTTAGCTTTCATTGTTGATATATGTGTCGTAATTTATAATTTATGTCTATTATATCTTTTTGTGCTGTTAAAAGGTAAAAATACAAATTAACAGTTATTGTTCTATTTTAATAGTTTTGATAATTTCAATATATGATATTTAACTTATCCAAATTATTGAACTTAGTTTTCACGGTTGATATGTATGAAAAATTTATTGTTTACATCTATTTAGGACTTTTATGCCATTAATAGGTAAAAATACAAATTTGTTGTTATTGTTCTATTTTAATAGTTTGCATAGCTTCAATGAATGATATCAAACTTGTCAGAATAATTGAACTTGGTATCCATAGTTGATATGTGTGAAAAAGCTAACGTTTACATCTATTTAGGATTTTTTATGCCGTTAAAAGGAAAAATGCAAATTTGATATTATTATTCTATTTTAATAGTTTGGATAGCTTCAATACATGATATTAAACTTGTTTGAATGATTGAACTTGGTTTCTACAGTTGATATGTGAGAAAAAGTTGTCATTTACGCCTATTTAGGACTATTTTTGCCGTTTAAAGGCAAAAATACAAATTTGCTGCTATTATTCTATTTTAACACTTTGGATGGCTTCAATACATGATATTAAACTTTTATGAATGATTGAACTTAGTTTCCACAGTTGATATATGTGAAAAAGTTGCCATTTACCTTTGTTTAGGATTTTTCATGCTGTTAAAACGTAAAAATACAATTTTGTTATTATTGTTCTGTTTTAAAAGTTTGGATAGCTTCAAAAGATTATATTAAACTTTTCAAATGATTGAACTTGGTTTCACGATTGATATATGTGAAAAAGTTATTGTTTACCTTTGTTTAGGACTTTTTTTGTCGTTAAAAGGCAAAAATACAAAGTTGCTGTTATTATTTTGTTTTAACAGTCTTGATGGCTTCAATACATGATATTAAACTTGTCCAAATAATTGAATTTGGTTTCATGATTGATATGTGTGAAAGGCCAAAATGCTTTTATTATTTATGTTTGTTTAAGACTTTTGTACTATTAAAGGGCAAAAATATAATTTTACAGTTATATTTCTATTTTAACAATTTAGATAGATTAAATACATTATATTAAACTTATTCAAATTTTTGAACTTGATTGACAGGCTCGACATGCATGAATAAGTTACTGTTGATATGTATTTAACAATAATATATGTTTTTATATAAGAGATTGAGATGGGTAAAAAAATTGAACGTGTGAAACTTTTTCGATTGACCCACACAAAAAAAATACAAATTTTACCTGAATGTCGAAACACAAAAAAATGTGATAATTAGTTACTTTTTTTTATATAGAAAGTAAATATTTACTATTTTAAACATATTATGAATTAATTATTAAACTTAATAGTTTTATTTGATTAATTTATAGGAGAAAGTGAAAGAAAAAATGGTTGCTGAGATTGAAGTAGCATTTGATTGTTTTGTTAACATGTAAGAATTAGAAAATCAGATTTTCACAGAAGTTACTGGAAAAGAAAGACATGGACGGGTCCGAGGCTTTGGATTGGGTCTAACAACATCTAGCTAATATGGACGTAGCTATCAACAATTTATATTCTCAGTAAGTCTATCTTTGCAAGACATTTTCATATGAGAGAGAGTTGCAAATTATGTAATAACGTTTCTAGTAAATAAAAGCGAAAAGAGAACATAAGCATGCTAAAATTAAAGAAGAAGGTGCTAAAATGGACCAAGAGCGTGTAAAATTTCAGTAATTGTATGATCGATTAGATACTCTTATGAATTTTGTGCAATAATAATTTTCAGGAAGTAATCTAGGTGGTCCACTAATTTAGGTATTATATTTAGTAACTATTTATATTTTTTAATATAAAAATAGCTTATTATTAAATGTTAAAACTTATATGATATTATTCAGTAGGTTCTTGAACACGCTGGTGACCTAGATAAAAAAAATCCTTCATCAAATAGCATCATTCCAAATCTATACAGTTATTAATTTCATACATTTTAAATTTTTTAGTGAACGTACTAAAATAATTTGAATGTTATTGTATTAATTATTAAATTTTGTGTTACATGTATATTTGAAAAAATTATGTATTTATTAAATTTAGTTTTTGAATTTAAATTCATTTTTATTTCTTTAACATTTTTATTTAATGATAACAATAAATATTAAAAGAAATTTTTTTTTAAAAAATAAATTTTTTAATTTCGCAGCGTTTATGTTCAAAAACACTATTAAATTCTAAATTTAGTGATATTTGTACCATAAAATACCACAAATTTAAGGGTGTTTTTCTATACAAATGTCGCTAAATGAAGCAACATTTTATGATACAAACGTTACTAAATTAGCACTATTTTTTTAATACAAATATCACTAAATTAGCTACATTTATTATAAAACGCTGTTATGTTTTTAGACTCATATATAACCGACGCTTTTATTGGTATTTTTGACAAATCTCGTAAATTTTTTAGTGGCATTTATAAACATTACTAAACTTAAAAAAAAAATGCTACTTAGCGTTAAAAAAAACACTATTAAAAACCTAAACATGTGTAATGATTTTATAATTGAACCATTATATTAAAATACTTTTCATTTAAAAAAATTTGTTTGTTCTTTCTTATTTCTCTCTTGACAAATGAATTGATTATCTAAAAAAAATAAAGATGCTAATAAAAAATTCTTTTTTTTCAACTTATTTATTTCGCCTAATGAAGTTGCGAGAGCTTTTAAAGCGACAACAACAATTTCAAAATGATGGTAAACGGTCATAATTCATAAAGTATGAACGCTCATTTTTGTTTATGCTGTAAGATTGTTTTTTAATGAAAGTAAAGCATTTTTCATAAAAAAAAAAAAAAAAAACTGGCACTTCAATGATCATTTAAAAATTAAAAACAAAAAACCTTCTCATATTCACTCTCACACACACACACAAATATATATATATATATATATATAAAAGTAGAGATCAATTTACATTTTTTTATCTTTAGATAAAATTAAATTCACAATTCATTTGAATTAAAATAATATTTTTAAATTTAAAAATTTTGATTTAATGATTTAAAAAAAGTGTAAAAATTACATTAATATAAATGGATCCTTATATATTCACTTATATTAGTGTAAGTATTACATTTTTTTTAACCATTAGATCAAAATAATCAAGTGTAAGATTTATGAATTTAATTTTGATTTAGAAATAAAAAAATATATAACACTTACATTAGTGTAAATAATGTATATATATATATATATATATATATATATATTTAAATAGAGGTGTGGCGACACTCTAAACTCAAAGTTTTGATTAAGATTTCATCTCCAATATCAAAAGAAGATTTTCATTTCCAATAATTTTAATAATGCAGTTCAATAAATTGAAGCCGTTAATGCAACAGCTTGATGAATTTCTAAACAAAGTACAGTGCATCCAAATGGCCAAATATTTCCAGCTGCAATGTAAGTGTACAAGCACACTTGTATTATTAGTGGCAAATTACAAGCATTTCTGCTGAAAAGCCTTCTCTGGATTCTTCCCATCAATTTCTGAGTGGTGAGGAAAATCATATGGCATTTCTGCAGCGCTAAGCCATGCTTCACAGAAAACCCTCGCAACTTCCCGGAAGACTACTGCATTGCCTTCTGGTGTCAGATGTAATCCATCACTGAAATAAGTAGCAAAACATATTCAGAATGTACTTCATATTAGTTCTTCCATCAACCGGCAATTTAATCTGAGAGGGAGTCTTCCGGCTGGATTAACTATTTCCTCCTCAAGGGTTTAGTGTGCTTCTGTTTTATCTAACATTAAAACTTAAAAAGAAAGTACTTCAATTTAATGAGGCGTCATTAGAGAGTGTAAAATTAAATTGAACTATTGGAAACTATGCAGTGGATAGAACTGTTGCAATGTTTATGCAGGACTTCTTTCACTATGGATCTGGTCTTTAGAAATAGGATAGCATGCTTCTAAAACATAGTCGCTTAAAATACCACAAACCTCAGATATTTTTTCTGCCAACCATCTGTTTCCTGCATCTTGGACCATAGATTGATGGATCGGAGATCCAGTTCCCGAGCTAACTCAACACACCCCCTTGCATAGACTCCAGCCACTTCATTTGTTCGTTCTGGTGATGTCATTGCTTTCTCACCATAGGTTGCTCTGTCAAACCGAATTAAAAATTATTTCTGTGACACACTGAGTAGTAATATTTTCATTACAGAAATCCTTATCACCATTCTCCTATGTCTGAGTTGTCGAAATTTTGGGTTCTAAGGATTTCTAAATCTGCAGAATTGGAAGTTTAGAATTGAAGGATCTTAACGTTATTTTGGTTCTAGTTTTCCTCCTAAGATTTTGCATAGCAGTAATTGTAGTAGCACTATTGGAAGACATGACAGAACAGCGACGGAAGTGTTATGGGTAAAGCTAACATGCTTGGCGGTTGCAAACTCGAAATGGCAATGTAATTAAGTTTCATGTTGCAACTGATATTGCCAATGTCACAGTGGTACCGTAATGAAACTTGGGAAAGCCGGAACACTTTTCTGGTGGAGATGTGGTATGACTGGGTTGTTGATGGTTTTAGAGTGCTAGAGATGAGATGGATGCAATAAGGAAGATTGGAAGTAAACATGGTTTTGTAGTCGGGATGCATGGATGCAGTAGCAATAGAGTTCTGGTGGAACTTGGGCGATGGAAGTGGCAGGCCAGGTAGCAATTCTAATAAAAGAATCCTGGAATAAGGATGCTGGAGATGTTTGAAGGGTCACCCTACACATGAAAATGGCACTTAGGAGGTAACAATGTTAACAACAAGGTGGATAAGCAAATATGGTGTTAAAGTAGCAGAAGGCTCCAATGAAGGACGCTCAATGTCTCATTTTGAGAAGTACAAGTAAGTAATGTTGAGAATCTAGCACAAAAAATAGAGCACTCCGCAGTCTGCACCTTGCACATGCAACAGTAGATTAAAGATAAAGTTCATGATAAGAGGATCCTTCATAATCTAAGAAAAAGCTAAAAGAAGAAGGTTGAAGGAAGATGATCCCATGTACCGAGCATATTCCATTCGTCCTTCCTCATCAATAGGTGGTGGAGTTATAAGCACAATAAGCATGGTGGGTGAGCATTCCTGTAAACAGAAAATATCGATAAAGTGAAAAGCAGATCCACAAAATAAGGAGGAAGGTTCAACTTTTGCCCATCAGGACAAATACAAAGTGAAGATAACTCAGTAAAAACCCCAAATTTGATGGAAGGAAAGACAGAACTCAGATCCACTGCACTAGCAAGATTGATGGCAATTGAATGTTCCAAATGGTTCACAAAATTGTACAGTTCTAAAGTATTTTGACATCAGGAAACATTTAGATTCTTAGAAAATATCTGGTCCATAAAGTTACCAACTCAAGGAATAACTATTTAAGATGAGAACATAATAAAAACATCAATACTTATCCTATATATATATATATATATATATATATATATAAGGACTAATTTCAATTCTAGACAGCTTTTTTTTCTTCTTTTAGTGTTGCAGTGATTTCGGTTTTGTATCATCAACTGAAAAGTAAAACCTTTTTACCATCCAGAAATCATTGAATAGGCAACTTAACGGGATGCAAAAGAATCATGAAAGTTATAGGTACGACAACAATTTCTTTATCATTCATTACTTTCCAATACACTTTTAATCAATGTTAAAAAGCTAGACTGGAGTTTGAACTGGTGGGACCCGGTTCAACCAGCTGCTCCAAATAAATGAAAGTTTTGTTATTGAAAACTTGATTTTTGTATAAGATAAGTATTAAATGCAATACATATTTAACAAAAATCTAGATTTGACTAAATGGTTATTGACATATTTACCACATTCGTAAAACTCTGTTAATAAAAACAAATTCGTTATCCATCACATCAAAAACTCTGTTACAAGCAGACGGTCCTAAATCCTAACGACTGCTCTTGCTTAAATCCTTCAGCTAGCTAGAGAAGGGAAGATGAAAGAAAATACAAACATCAACAAGCTAAGAAACAATGCTTTTACTCAAAACAGATACAGTTGCTGGCTTTAATCTATTAAATATTTAAGCCAATACTTAGATCATCACTATTGCTCATCCTGTGCGTGCAGATTAACATGTAGGTTACTTTTAGCAGCACATATTTTCTGTTTCGTTATCAGAATGGTAAGAAAGTTTGTTCGAAAATGCACATTGAAGTACGTGTAGATTTGGAATGTCAATTGCTGAAACATATAGTGGCAGTAATTGAAGCTATAAAGAATACACATGTCTATTGTGGAAGATGCCTGCTAAAAATGGTTGCCTAAAATAATAGTGAAGAGATGAAAACTGAACCTTCAAATGGTTTACAATTTTTCCGAGGTTCTCCTTGTACTCTTCTATGGGGACGTGCTGCCTTTCACTGGTTCTCCCTAGAAGAGCAGCATCATTAGCCCCAAAGAAAATTGTAGTAGCAACTGGAGGTTTCTTTGAGTCCTAAGACAAAATAAAAAGGATAAATCTAAGACTAGTTACATAATATCTGGTGCAGCAATTTCATTTAAACAAACAAATAAAGAAAGTTAGGGGAGGAAATATCGCAACAAACAAAATCTAACAGTAGAATTTTCCCTGGCTAAAACAAAGCAAGCAAAAGGAGATGTTTAAATGCCAAGGACTACCATTCATGAAATGAAAGTATCTCCAGCAAGGCATCGACACGAGATAACTAAAGAACAACACATAACAAAGAAAAGATTGTAGATATATACACACACACACATATATATATATACACATACATACATATATATATATACGAGGAGAGATCAACTTACACAGTTTATAACTAAACAAGTTTTAAGTATTTTTTCAACCATTGATTTCAATAGATCCAAGGGATGAGATAGATAAGGAAAAAAAAGGAAAAAATGGTTTAATCTCATCCCTTTGATCTATTAAAATCAATGATCCAAAAAATGTGTAAAACTTTTTTAGTTTTACACTGTGTGAAGGATCCCTCCTATACATATATATATATATATATGTGTGTGTGTGTGTGTGTGTGTGTGTGTATATACATATATATAAAGAGAGAGAGAGAGAGAGAGAGAGAGAGAGAGGTAAATCCTCTGAGCTCAATGACTATCATAAATCAGTTATAAACTGAACATTTTGATCCGTAAATGCACAGCAATGAGTTGTATATACATCATATCAATCCTCAATCCATAATGACTAAAATTTTGTTTCTCTATCAGTAAAGTTGAGTTCTCATTTAACCCACTAAAGAAATGAGGATCTAATACAACTGTAGAGATCTACTATCCCTCATTCCGAGAACATCAAACAGAGTTCACAAGCACAATCTAAAATTCTAAAACAACAAAGTTTAACAGATCAACAACGCCATCTGCAAATTCACAGCAACATTTCCAAAGGAAATTAAAAAAAAAAAACAAAAGAAAAAAGAAAAGTGAAGAACTTTACAAGAGGGAAGAGATGATGCAACAAGAACAAAGCCCATCTGGTGTTGTACCCACCATACCCACGAACTAAAACATCGGCCTGTTAATAGAAAAAATTATAAAAAGGGGAAAAGGAGTCAAAATTGAATAAGAGGTCATATTTTAAAGCAATAAAAAGACGAAAAAGGTTGAACCTTGCGAGAGTAGGCATCAGCAAGAGAAGCACCCCAGCCGCCATATCTAAATGATTGTTCTGTTATTGAATCTCCAAATAAAACTATGTTTGGTCTCATTCTTTTTTTTTTTTTCCCCTTGACTTACGATCTGGTGTTACACACACACAAAACAAAGAACGTAGATTTAAAAGGACAACCATACAATTTCGTCAATACCTTTAAAAGGACCAGCTATGTGAAAAAGCAAGATAAAAACGGTAATAAAAATTTTAAGTATTTATTTTGGTCGTCCTGTACCCCGAATGATGGAGTGCACGGGCAGCCTCCTACCATAAAGGAGCATCTTACTGCACAAGCTCCTTTTTCTCACGCCGGTAGAGTGCTTTTGTCGTGTGGGTGCCTTCTTTAATTTTATTCTCAGGCCTTGGATATAAATTTTTTTTTTTTTACCAAATTGTTAGTTAACGGTTGATTTTTTTTTTAAAAAAATTATTGATATATTAGGATAGCAATCTTATTCATATTAGATATATATCCGATTTTTTATCCTAATAGAGTTAAAAATTGATATTAAAATTTCAAGACGAGAATAAGGATGAATATGTTTTTAAATTTTTTTATTAAGTATAAAAATCAAAACGTATAATATAATATCCACTCTATATTTGTACTTTATATATTTACTAAATAGATTTTTTATTAAATATTATAAATTTTTATTGTAAATTATTTAGAACTAATATATTTTTATGTAAAAATATGAGAAGGGATCAACTTACATAGTATAAAATTAAAAAAGTTTGATACTTTTTTTAACTATTATTTTTAATAGATCTAAGAAACTAGAGACGAATATAAATAGGAAAAAAATGATATGATCTCATTTTTTGGATCTATTGAAATTAATTATTAGAAAAATATGTAAAACTAAAAAGAGTTACATTGTATTAGTTGATCCTTTCCTAATCTCTAAAAATATATATTAATATATACTTATAAAAAAATTACATAAATGTGAAAAATAGAAAGAAAAAATAAAAAATAAAATTTAATTATTATTATTTTTTAAAAAACTATAGGTACAAGAATTACTCATACCATCCATAGAAATGGAGTGAGAATAGATTCGAAATACACGTAGAATATAGGTATAGAAATGAGTATAATATAAAACTTCGAGGATAGGGATAAAAAATGTTTTACCCACCTCATATCCTATTCACTAACATCCCTATTAATATGATGTTATGCTACACTTGATCTTTGGTGACACTAATATATATTTTGATGTTCAGTGTGTGTAATGCTATACACTATTAGTGAATAGCAAAATGACATTATTAAAATTAAAAGTAAATAGCACGCGTGATCCCTAAACTTTGGACCAAATTCTATATTAGTCCCTAAGTCTTAAAAAGTTCTAATTAAGTCACCAATTGTCCAAATGTGTATCAATGTAGTTCATTCATTTGTCGTACCATCTAAAATTGATGAAAAATCCAACGTAGCATGACAATCAAGAATAGATATATTATGGCCTTTCACGTGGGTTGAATGGGTGTGATCCCTTCTCTTTAGCTTCAAACAACACTGTTTGTATGGAGTAAAAAAACTTTAAATTCAGCAGCTTTTAGTTTCCATTCTAAGTTTCCCTTTCTTATTCAATCTTTCTCTAAATTCCCACTTATTCAAACCCAATCAATATCAATAGTACTAACCTAAAAACCAATGCCTATCACCACGAAGTCATACACTGCTTCCATTGTCGAACGTCGATCTCGCCAGTAACCACCGTCAGTCTTTGTGCTTATGCTAGAAACTTCTTTCAAATCCAATCTTTTTTTTTCATCGACTGAGGCCCAACTATAACCTTAATTTTAATGAATTTGACCCTTTTTTTTTTCTATTTGGAAAACCCAAATAGAACCACTAGACTTTAAAAAGTTTTGCTGCCAAATCCTTCTTTTGTGATGCTTTTTTTTATGTGTTCAAATTTTATTTAATCTTCATGGGTTCTATTTTCTGGGTTAAAGCTTTTGATTTTCTACAAACTAGTTTAGTTAATGGTCAACTATTAAGTGTAGTTATTTGTGAGTTATAAATATGGATGATTTTGGGTTTGCCTGTTGGTGTTGTGGGTTTCTGCTAAATTGAAGATTGTGGATTGATTAGGTGATAGCTTTTTGATCGGTGATTTCTGGTGGGTTTCTGGATATGGGTTTGATGGATTTTCTATTTAGAGGCTAATTGAATTTGATGTTGAATTGCTGCCCCTATGTATTGCTTATTGTTTGTTTCTCCAATTGTTTGATTCTTCCTTTGGCCAAGAATTCTTTTGTTTAAAATCAAAGACAAAATATTAACCTTACACGTAATACAACTTTGTAAAGATATGTCATGCCACATTGGATTTTTCATCAGACGGTTCAACAGACGAAAGGATTACATTAACACAAGTTTGTGTAATTGAGGATTCAATTAGAACTTTTTAAAGTTTAAAGACCAATATAGAATTTGATTCAAAGTTTAGGGGCCCTACTATTTACTCTAAAATTAATTTTAAATATACTTTTAAGATTAAATATATTTTATTTTTCAATATTAAAATTTTTAAATTAATTTTTTATGACTTATTATTATGTGGTTCACTAATAATATATAAGCTAGGGTAACACATGTCATTGAACTATAATTAAAAAATTATTTAAGCTTTTAACATTTTATTGCAATCAATTAAGCTATTAATCTTTTATTTCGACTCAATTGAACCTTTAATTGTCTGAAATTTAATCACATAGCTAAATTGAATTTGTCAAATCTTGAACTACAGTCAATTGAACCCTTGGAGGGATTTTAAAGGGAGGGGAAGAGAAAATAAAGAAGAAAATAGAAAAGAAAAAAAAGTTTATTTTATTTAATTTTTACATATATTAATTACATCACATGGCAAACTTTCATCTATTTTATTGATCTTACATGAAATTTTACCTTAGTTGGCAAAAAAATCAATGGTGTTAACTTTTCACTCAAATAAGAGTTTAATTGAATATAGATAAATATTAAAAGGGTTGATTAATTGTAATAAAAAAATAAAAACTTAAATGATTTTTTAATTATAGTTAAGGTTTTTTTTATACCTTTTAGTCTAATATATAACATTTATAAACATAATGCATTAAATATAAACTCATAGAAAAACCCTTTCACAGTTGATGGAATTTCCACTACCTTAAAATCAATTTAAATGAAGAACCACCTAAGAGAATCAAATCTATCTTTATGCAAATATATCAAGTGTGATGTAATTGGAAAGGCAAAAAAAATACAAGAATGGCAATAGGAAATAAAATGAAAGACCCTTTCGGCTTTTGGTGACCTTTTTGCTAAACAACAAGATAGTGTAAGAAGTTATATGTTTATGGTGCCTATAGTTTCCTCATAAATGAACTAAAATTGGGAAAGCAACTAAAAGGAAAATAAATCTCCTTACATGGAAAGATTTTGATATAGGTTCTCCTTTTCAAATATGGTATCTTTAGTCTGGTGCCTAATTATCAATCTTTACTAGTACGAAATGAGTAAATAAAATGTGAACAAAATAAAGGAGCAACAAGACAAACTAAGAATATGTTTTGAGCCCCCTTGTACAAGTATAAGAGATAGTGGAAGTAGTAATGCATTCAACATTTTTTATTGCATAATTATTATATATAAAAAAATTACTAATGAATTTATCAAATTTGTCAATGAAAAATATGTTTAGAGAAAAATTTTGGGTGTTTTTATTTAAAATATTTTCCAAATAGTAAAAGATAAATTAGTTAAGTATGATAACTTGATCAAATATTTGAGAAACAAAATGTTTAAAGCTAAACTTAAGCTTTGGCAAGGTTCTAAATCAAGTTTAAATGACTTAAGAAATGAAAGAATTACTAGGAAAAAGTTTCTTTGGGAGTAGTCAATTACTATGATAAGACAGTTGGCTACCGCAACTTTCAAAATGAAAAAAAAAATTTCTTTTATAAATTTATCCTTAGGATGCTGACTACTTGAATATGGAATTTGATGACCTTGACAAGATGAAAGCCTTCTGTTTCTAAAATACACTAATGTAGTCAGATGCTTATATAAAGAAGTCAATTGCTGATGACTATGAAATTTATAACTTTTTATAAGTCACTTTAACCTTTAAATTTTGAAAATTTTCATGAATTTTATGCCTTAATGTGTGAAATTCTTGATTATCAGGCTTGCATGAAAAACTTTAGACAACTTGGATGAAATGGAAAAAACCATTTAAACTATGCAAAGGTGACAAAAGGAAGCCATGCATGAACCATGCACTCCATGTAAAGTTGGTTGATGAGCATTTGGCCAATGCATAAAAAGTCTACACAATCCCATTCAGCCATGTATGCAAGAAGTCTCAACCCATGCAAAAGGTGGTAATTTTGGTAACCCTATGTAGCTAAACAAAGAAGCCCAATGGTACATGTAACATGATCGGCCAAAGAGGAAGTTTTGTGCATAAGGACTCTTTTAAATTTAAAAAGAGTCTTAAGCGAAGTGAAAGAATCAAGAAGATCATGTATTTGAATTTAAACCCAACCAAAATTTTCATAATCTCCATTTAAAATTTAAAAGATGGTTGATTTGGCAAGGACACATAGGCATGGGTGACACATATGGACTAATCAAAGAATGACATTCGGTCACACAAGCTCCACGTCATCTAAGAATACTTCACCTATAGGCTAAGGCTCATTCGAAATCCAAGAAGATCACATTTTTTAATATAAAGAGTTTAAGCCATATTGATAGTGTCTAGGTTCATCCCCCTAGTCCTAGTCATGTATTACAAATAAAGCTCACTTGTAGCGCATTTGGCATTTCGTCCCTCATTCCATTTCTCTTTTTTTTCTTTAGTTTCAATTTTCAATCAAGCTTTTGTTTATTGGGCTAAGGTGACAAACTAGCTTACATTCACTTGTTTTCTTAAAGCTATCTTTCAATACAAGTTCAGTTTACATTCCCTTTAAGCTTTCAAATTTTACTTTTCAAGCACTTTTGTTTACTTTCAAAGTTCTTTTAAGATTTTGATTTTTATCTCTATTCACTTTGTTGCATTTTGCATTTTCACACTTGCTCTTTATATTTTCTTTACAATTGGCCAAACTTTGTTCTTTTACAAGCATTCAGTTTATTTACTTTCCAAGCCCATTTACATCTGAAACATGCCTTTATCTTTCTTTGTCTATATGGCTAACACCATTGCTAGTAAGTTCATATATTGTCTTAGCTTTGCATTCGACCTTTACATTTTCAAGTGCTCTTGTTTTGTTTTCATTCTAACTAACCTTTTTTATTGTCTAAATATAAAGTTTGAAAGACTCATTTGG